ATAAAACCACTCCAAGGGCCACTCTTTAGATGCCTTCTACGGAGTGCCAGACAGGTATCCAGTCCCGGCTATGCGCCATACTTCATCGCTGCCCACCTCGAATATAGATCCCTTTTGGGAGCGGGGACGAGGCAAAAAAAATCTGCCATAGCTCGAGATGGGCCTCGCAGCCCAGGAACAGCTCGCAAAGAGCAACGAGGCCCGCGATATGCAGGATGGAGCCCGGCGTCAGATTGTGCAGTTGAAGGCTGTAATACTCCAGTAGACCTCTAAGGAAAGGATGAACGAGAAATCCTACGCCTCTCAAGAGGAAGGAAACAAAGCACACCCACTCCTCTTTAGAAGGATTTGGGAAATTCTCCGCCAAGGCTTCACCGTTAATGGAAGTTAATCCAACCCGAACGGAGAATAGATCCCCGGGAGGAAGGTATCCTTGCGCCTGAAGTTTGCTCAGATGGGCGTGGGACATCGAACAACTTTCACAGTCGCCTTTTTGAGGGACGTTGGGGCATGATGAGGAGCTAGGAGCGCTGGCCATGTTTGGGCGATTTCCTAGGGCAAGTTCTAAGGATTTCCGCGTGGTGTGGAATGGTCTTTCGAGATCCAATTTCTTTATATAGGCGCCTTTCCCGCCTGGTCGAGGTGTTATTTGTAAAAACACCGAGACTGTTCACATTCAATTGACACATGGAAGCCGAGGCAACGACAGTGAAGAAATGGTATTTAATGAGCAGCCGGACTGTCGTCAATCCAAAGTACAATGAAGAACTCGCCTTGCAAAGCCGAAGACGTAAAGCCGGATACTACATCGTCATTGAAGGCAAGTTCGGGGGCTACTGAGGGGGTCCTGGATTAAGGGGTCCTTGGATGGTCGGGCTATGTGACGTGGGCCGGACTAATGGGCCGTGAAGGTACAATATAGAAGGCTTTTCCCCGTGTCCGGATGGGGCTCTCCTTGGCGTGGATAGCAAGCTTGGCGGCTAGTCATATAGTTTCCTTTCTCTGTGGACCGACTTTGTACAACCCTGGCCCTCTTCGGTGTTTATATAAACCGGAGGGTTTAGTCCGTAGAGGCGAACACAATCATATAGACTAGACATCTAGGGTTTAGCCATTACGATCTCGAGGTAGATCAACTCTTGTAACCCCTATACTCATCAAAGTCAATCAAGCATGAAGTAGGGTATTACCTCCATTAAGAGGGCCCGAACCTGGGTAAACATCGTGTCCCCCGCCTCCTGTTACCTTCGATCCACACACGCACAGTTCGGGACCCCCTACCCGAGATCGGCCGGTTTTGACACCGACAATGACATCATTTGTTAGTGATGCAGAGCAAGAAGGGCATCAACTAGTGAAAGTACTCTTCCTGTCCCGCAAGCTCAAATGAGCTCTGGTGAATAGTTAAATAAAAAAATATTGAAAATAAATTCCAAAAATTCTGAATTTTGTTAGTGGCAAACATTGACAAAAGTTTTCCACTCTTGCAAAATTTCATCGTGAAACGACATTTGTGGAAGCCATGGCAAAAAACATCACTCCTAAATGCTTTTGGAATTTAAATTTTTGGAGCACCGATTTTGTTTTTTAGCCACAACTTCTACAAAAGTCATTCAACAATGAAATTTTGCAAGCGTTGAAAACTTTTGTCAATGTTTGTCACTAAAAAGTTTCAGTTTTTTTGTATTTTTTGATTTTACTGTTCACCCGAGCTCATGTGAGTTCGGGCTAAGAAACTCAATGTCCATGAACTAGGCTCTGCTGAGGAGGTAAAATCACATATAATCTCTTCTTGTTTTCTCCTTTGCCCGTTTTCACTACCATAGCAACGATTTAATAGCGCAAGTGTATCCCCGGTGCAACACACGGTCAATTTTCTACTAGTAAAAATAAGGCATGCAGATGAACACAAAGAGTCCATGCCGAGCTAGATAGCAAGGCTGTGGTGCAAATGATCAATCAACCCAGTCAAAACTATTCGGCAGCAGGACCATGAATTTAGGAGATCAAAAAGATGTTGCATACTAGGAGTGATTTTAAAGTTTCTTGGGTTAGTCAGTAGGCGAATGTTGCTGCACATAAATTAGCTAGAGTAGGGGTAGGAGAAGAACTTTGTAAGGTGTGTGTGTGTGGGTGGGTGGGTGGGGGCGGGGGTCCCAGACTATGTCTTAGATGTAATTTCAAATGACATTCGAGCTACGTTGGTTAAATAAATGCGGCAACATTAACCCTAAAAAAGGCGTGTAGGAGGTGTGTGTGGGATTGTACGGTTCACGAAGCACCGGTCCTTTCCCTCAAAAAGAAAAGAAAAAAGAAGCACCGATCCGTCTCTCCTAAACCTAATCGACTCGAGTCCCTAAAATCCACACGTGGCTCACAAACCTCGAGCTTCTCCTCAACTTCCTATTCTCTTCGTCTTCCAGCATCGAAGGGCCATCGCCATTAGACGACGGATTCACTCTATGCATCCCTAGCACCATACCTTGCAAGCGATCAACTCCTTGCTCCACCATCCTCCTGTCCTCCTCATTTTGAAGGCCTGCCAAATATCGAAGGAAAGAAGAAGCATAGTAGATAAACTCAGCTAGGGATTTCACAAGTTTTCCATCAAATCGTGCTCTATTCCTAAGTTTTTAGATGACCCATCATAAGGCCGCCACTCCAACTATATGCAAGTTTCTGTTGTGTGGGATAAAGTGAGATATCCACCAGAAATACTGGGTAAAACATGTGGGCCTAGACTAAGACATCCCCAAGATGTTACAAATTACCCCTAGCAATATTTTGCAGCAGAGCATCCAAAAAAGAGATTCTAAATCCCTTCATGCTTATAAAAGAATTGACACACAAGGTCACCTGTTCATTTTTGTAAGCTTATTTTAAATATTTAATGTGAAGTAAATAGTTGCTCCCTTAGTATCAAAATATAAGAGCTTTTTTTGACAATACGTCAGTGTTAAAAAAACATCTTATATTTTGATACGAAATATAAGACGTTTTTCATAGTGTCAAAACACGTCTTTTATTTTGATACAGAGTGAGAGATGTAAGCTACTTCGAATTTATGAGATGAAAAATTGTGTGTGCTCTTCTTAAATTCAATTCAATAGAGATGTAAGCTACTTCGTCATCTCATAACATCGAGTTAGATAATCCTCAACTAAAAGAATTAGATAATTATGATGTTCTATTTCCCATTAGACATATGATAACAACGAGTTAGATAATCCTCAACTAAATTTTTTAGATAATTATGATTTTTTGTTCCCATTAGACAAATGATGAAATCATTAAATTGATTTTATATTGCCTGTGACAATCCACGGTCAATTTTCTACTAGTACTAGTAAAAAAGGCGTGTACGAGGTGCGTGGGCTTGTATGGTTCAAGAAGCACCGATCTAATATTTTTTTAGAATTTCCCGCGATACACTTTCTGTGAGAGAAAACGTTCCCATCGATGACAGACACCTATGGAGATTTTATAAATCTTAGGATGATATGCCAGCTCAATCTCTTAATAAAGATGCTCATAGGAGTAAGGTATGCGTATATTTTTATAAGGATGAGTATATGCGTGTACGTATAAGCATTTGCGTAAATGATTCTAATCATTCGACTGATAAAGACGCGTACATCCACCACCTCCCTAGCCGTCAGATCTGATTTTAATTAGATGTCTCAGGAACAACGTATTACGTAGACTAAATTTTGCAACTCAGTAGTTGTTGCAATTTCCCACACCGCAACAATTGGTGTGTTGCGGGATCTGGATCCCTCGTCTCCCATGCTCCTCGCAAGCCCTCGTCAATCAGAAGCCCCCACCAGCAAACATCCAACGATGCTGCCGACAAGCACGACCGCCGTTGCCGGCAAACACGCCGACGAGGCCGCCGACAAGCACAAGTAGTCACCCCGCGTTCCTTCCGAGCTCCCTCTCAAACTGACACCTCCCCAGGCTGCTCCAACCGCCGCCATCAGGGCTTGCCATCGGCAAGCATGTCGACACGGTCGCCCTGGAGGAGCACCGGCTTCCATGGTTGTCGCCTCTTCAGGCTTCACTCACAATAATAGTTCCTACAACATTATCTCTGTTGCATATATTTTCTACAACTTGACCTTTGTTGCAAAAAAAAAAAAAATCTGCGACACTTCCTCTTCTCCGGCGATGAAGAAGCGATTCTCCTCAGCATCTTCTCATCTGGCGACGAAGAGGCGACGCCGGGGCGCTCCTGCTCCGTCGCGACCCCCACGCCCTTGTGAGCCACTCGCCCGCCGTCATCCTCGTCTCCCAGTCTCATTTATTTGGCAGGGAAACTTTTAGTAGGAAAGCGAAAGGAAACCCTAGATTTGTAGGAGCACATACCTGCTGTGGGGGCGTTCACGAGACCAATTTTGGTTCGAACCCACAGATCCGGACATCCTAGGTTAGGTTTCGTGAGCTTGGTTGTAAAGGGGGAGGCATAGATCCGCGGTTTGTGGGTGCGTTGGCAGTGTTTTGGCTGAGGCACGGAACAGGCGGCACATCGCCCACGCGGATGTGATTCGTGGTTCCGCCCACCGCCTCTCACCAATAGTACTACACTTACCTTAGGCACACGACGTGGATCCACGCAGTTCGTGGGTTTCTAGGTTTGCTCTGAAATTTTCTCGAGCAGTTGCGTGGTTGCACACAACATCATCCCGTAAGGTTAGTGCCTAGGATTCAGCCTGTAGATCTAGCATTATTGGTTTCTCACACTCCCGCCTCTGCTTTGCTTGCACAGCTGGTACTTCCAGGCAGCAAAACGGCAGCATCAACTGCTTGCCAGTTGCCAGTTGCCACCGCAAACACCTCCGGGCTACCGCTAGAACTCTTGCTCCTGCTGCGCCCTTGGGAAATTTATTTCCAACTGGTGGGAACAATTGCCTTCCATCGCTGGAACATTCCAGTGAATGGCATGGAACAGTTGAGTGCACCGGCTAGAAGACAATATATATATAGGCTTCCGAGGGCTCGCCATGGGTAGCGGCGAAATCTGTGGAGGATCAGGTGGTGGGAAGCCCAGGCGGTGGCATCTGAGTGGAGGTCAGCACACCCAGCAGACGTGCAGAAGCATTGGACGAGAGGAGAGGAGCGAACTTGACGGGGTCGCCCCGCTCCCACAGAAGCACAGGGTGAAAGATGACCCATTAAACAGGCCATATTGTGGGTATGATGGCCAGCCAATCCAGTGGGCCGTGCCAGGGGTGGTCAAGCTGGGTATTCTTAATAGCCCCTGGCTGTCGCAAGGGCCCCTGGCATCAGGCTTCATATCTGAATTCTGTGTTTTCTTTTCTTGGTAATCATGCTTGCTTAAGTCTGCTAACTTGTTTGCAGCTGACCTATGTCGGATCAGGGAATACATGCTGCTTCTGTTCGAGACACCCTCTGGCTTTGCAGTCTTCCTTTTTTGTGGGTCACTCATTAACCCACCTAGATCTCTGGAGGTACTATATGTTCTTCCTTCCTTGGTTACTGATGTGCTTGCTTGCTTTCTCTTGTTGTCCATGCCATTTACCTACTTTTCTGTTTTATCCTCGTCTCCTGCAGGACATATGGCTTAATTTCGCTGACAGTAACACGGCAAAAGGGGTTAGTGCCTCCTTCTGATTTTATATCCTGATGTTGCTTGCCGCCAAATAATAATTTCTACTAGCGATCTTGCACCATTCTTGATTGCATCATCATTTTCTGTTAATTTATTTTGTTTTGTGTTGAAGGAGCAACACAAACATATTCTTCATTACTTCTTAACTAAATAATTAAGAGGTTAACACAACTTTCCCTCATAAATCTGGTTGTAAAGCATGTAGCCTGGATGCGAGTGCATGCATGCCCAAAAACTACTACTGCTAAATGTCCACCATGGGTGTAACAGTATTTCTAAAGAATTTGTTTGATGTGCTTCTATGAAGAGCAGCACCTTTGTTTATGAACGTAATCTGAATTACACTGGTATTTTGATGAATGAGGACTTGGAACATGGGTACATCGTTACGGTTGAGATATAATTATTGAACCAGCCCCCTCTCCTTGTCGAGAGACATGACATGATACTTGATCAATTGTTTTGTTTTACCCCCTACCCTTGTTTTATTTCTTCATCAGGTTGTTTTGCTGATGGAGTTCCAAACTTTTGAGGACAAGTCCAGTGCCATTAATCAGAACACTGGTGTCAGTGAAAGGCTTGCTGACATGATCAGGGCGTGGCTCCCTGGTAAGAAAATGGCAGTCGGAAAGCCTGAATATAAGGAAATCATTGAAGAGAGATTGGTGAGTATAAGTTCCTGCTTCACCTATACCTTTGAGCAACTTTGATCATGATTTTCGCTGTGACTTCTTCCAGGAAATAGAATGCCTGTATAATAAACGGGTGATGGAGGTAATGTGGGGCATACAGAATTGCATGCCAGGTTTGATACCTATAGAAAAATCACAGCTGGCTAAAGAGGACCGCCTCCCGAGTAAGGGATTGCAAAAATTCTTGAAGTGTTATGACTGTAATGTCAAACCAGAGATGGTGAGTTAATTAGTTGCCATGGACCAAAGTTTTGGACGTAACTTCAGTAGAAAAATTGTGCTTAGCATCTCTTCTTTAGTGATGAAGCAATCTTCTTTGTCTCCAGGTCAATGAACAAATTGTTGCGACGGCTTCCGCATTGTCTGAGTGTGATTCTGTTGAGATGAAATATTCTGTAGTCATGCGCGAAGCAGGTGCTGTCATTAAGGATGTGTCTGGCATCAGCTGTGAGGGTTGGAGCTTACTGGACATTGCAACAGCTCTGAAGATGATATGGAAGCCTAAAAAAGTTGGCAATTCTTCTCTGGTAAATTGTAGATACTATTTTGTGAATGTCTTATCAGCTGCATGCTATCCCATTTCTTGCAAACTTGTCACTTGGTCTAAATCATGTTCCTTCCAGGTTTCAAAAGATGAGGCACTAAGATTGGTGAACGATGCATCTAAATATGAAGCTCTGGTGAATAAGCATGCTTGTTTTTTTCCGAGAAAATGCAAAAGACCTTTGCGTTTCATTTCATTGACAAAGAAATGTTGAAAGCTCATGATTATAGGATCTCGAAAGAAGACCTACTGAAATCATTGGTTGAGGGCCTGAAGAAACCATAAGGCTCACGGCTAGCTGAAACTGCCTGTTCATAGTCTGATGGGAGTTTTTGGCATGTTGGTTCACAGGGTATTATTGAACATAAGCTGATCTTGGTTGACTTCATTGCAGTCTCAGTCTGAGATGATCCGTACGAAAAAGTGCAGTGCTAATTAAATTTGAGCAACCCTGCTTAATTGGCTATCAAGTATTTTGCTATCTTAATTTGAACCTATTGTTTTTATCTGGTCATATGGAATCTCAGATCGGTTACGTCTAAGTATGTGTTTTGTGAAGGAGTAGCCGGGTGCATGCACAGCGTTACACCTCGTAGGTGATGTGTATGTATCCTGTGTAAAATGCAAATATATCCTGTCTCATGTTGTGTAGTATTTCACCTGCAATATTGCACAATGTGCTTGGATTTCAGTCATGGGAAAGATTAGGGGTAAATATCACCGGTAGTCATAGAACTTGCACCTGATGTTCGGTTTGGTGCTAAAACTTTGAAAATACAGAATTGTAGTCATTTAAATTGACTCAAGTGTGCACATGCGGTCCCAAATGCATACATGGGCGTATCCATGTGTATGGCTCCAACTGGTAGTGAGTGAAGGCGCTTGGATGATGCATTTTTTTGCACAAAGCATCTTTATATATTTTTATTCATGGAATTTTTTACACAAAACACCTATATTTTTTTTATTCATGGAAAAAGCTGGGATGTATTTTTGCAAAAAAGTAAAAACCTTGCAATTTTTTATCTGCAGAAAAGCAAACCACCAATGTGATGTGAATATGTGAAAATTACCATGAAAAATAGGTGCGCAGGTGCTGAAACCGCGACCAACGCTTAAAACAGTTTAAAACACTAGCCAATTTAGTGACTCAGCCAAACAGTTTCGCATGTCTACTATGTGTAACATATTCATACGTACTGAGAGTTTCAAAAAACAAATATTCATACGTACTGAGCGAAAACGCATGGGGAGCTTAAATGGGCTGCAGATACTGCAGCCCATTTTGCACGGTTTATTTTTATGTATATTTGTAAAAACGTAAGTAATTTGTTTTTGAAATATTTGTGTGTTAAAAACATTATACATACATACGATGATTAGTTAATCGAAAACTTAAATATAAACATGTGTATTCTATAAAAAAACATTTAGTAAAATGTTAGTAATAAAAACATTAAGGATACTTTTTAAGATATTTGTAAAAACTATGTAATAAAGTTATGTAAAAAAATTTGTGTGTTAAAAAAAGTATACATACAAATGGCCAGTAGTACATAACACATCTAAATATAAACATGTGTATTATATAAAATATATTTAGTTTATGCGGACATTGAATTTATTTTATTACATAAATATGTTTAGTGAATCCATAAAAAATATACATTCATGGTTTATATTTAAATTATACAAAATGATGAATACAAACATTGACTAAATATTTATGAATATTCACTTGTGCATTATTGTTTACTAATGATTTCAGAAAAAATATAAATTTAAATATTATACATGATTGAATTTTTAAAATAATACATGAAAATTTATGCGAATATTTTAAAATAATACGTGAATAATTTTTAAAGTAGGTTATTTCGTTTGTATGTACAATATTTATAACACACGAATATCAAAAGGTTATATTTATTAATGAAATGATAATTTACATACTATCTACAAATTCTTAATGAAAAATAAACAGGTGCAAAATGGGCTGCACTGGCCATAGCCATTTGAGCTTCATGAGCGGCTATCTTCTAGTACGTTAATTATGTACATGTGCATGTCGAAGGGCAGATCCTATATGACGCCCGTGTGCGTCGGATCTGCGCTGCTTCGCTGAAGAGAAGCAAGCGAACCAGACGCACGGGCTAGCCCACTTCAAGCGAGCACCTGGTTTTGGGAACCTTCTAGTAGGTTCCCTGAACCGAGCTTTGTTTCTTTTGCCGGTTTTTTCATTTTTTACTTTACATTTTTCTTTTTTTTCTGTTTCTATTTTTTTTCTTTTCTTTTTCCTTTCCTTTTATTTATCGTTTATCGTTTTTATATTTATTCTTTGTTTTTAAAATTGTTTGCAATTTCAAATTTTGTTTGTGATTTCAAAAAGTGTTCACAGTTTTCAGATTTATTTTTCAATTTTTAAAAATTGTTTCACAATACATTGCGTCTCGTTGGTAGGTATTTGATACCTCAGGCATGTGCCAATGATTAGTATGTACACTATTTAGGTATATACATACCGGATATATGTACGTACTCATAATATTTTGAGGTATCCACTTACGCATGATATTTGTGGGTATATTCATTATGTCTTGTTAGTAGGTATTTGAAATACCGGAGGTATATTCATAACTTTTATTTGGTATAATACCTCAGGTATGTGTATATTCTTATACACATAATACCACCAGTATATGTATATTTTTCATTAAGTATAATAATTGTGGTATGTTTATAATTTATAAGATAAAATAGCCCTTTTATGTGTATAGTTTCAATAGATATAATGCATTAGCATAATATTTAGAAAGGAATTATTGCTAGGAAATCAACATAATTATATTTTTTGAAAAGCAATCATTGACCGTTGAGGATATAGTGCATGCAAACAAAAAATGGAAAGCTAGTATTTAATGGATTGCATGTCATGCGCTAGTAAAAATGACCTGCCATACCGGGCCTAGGCACCTAGGTGCCCCAAATAATTTACCTAAAATTTAATAAATATATTAAATTTCATAATTGTTCACGTTTTTTAGAAAAAAATTACGTTGTAAAAGTTTGTTCGAGTTTCAAAATTCATTCCTTAACTTCTAAAGGAAGATTAAAAATGGATCTACCGATGCGCATAGTACTTCAAGTGTGGGGCGTTGTAATATAAGACATACCTGGTCCATAGTTCAGCGGCCGACATCATTGCAATTCAGCGTTAGGTCTAGTGTTGCATCCAAAGGTAGAATGTTTTCGTGACATTTTTTATTACGTTCGCTCCTCACATGGGAATGGGCCGGCCCGTTTGTGCGAATCCTTCGGCGAACCCTGCGCGAAAGCTCCTCTGTTTGACGCTAACGAGCCTCGAACATGAGCTCTCATGTCGAAGTGGTAGCGCGGCTTGTTCGCTAACCTGTGTCGTGAGTTTGAGGCCTTGAGGCCACTCTTTCTTTTGCTGTTGTTATTAATTTTCACTCTGTAATAGCAGAATACATATTAGCTGCTTATCCTTAGTGGACATTTGCACATGATGGGTGTACTGGCTAGACTGGCCAGTGTTGTAAACGTTGGTCGACGATTTCAGACCCAACGCCCTATTTTTGTGTGTTCATTTTCACAGTAGTATGCTGGTCGATTTTCTGCAAATAAAAAAGCGAGGGGGTCTTGTGCAAAAAATCATAATCATGGTTGGCTTTTTTCATGAATAAAAAAAAATACATGGGTGTTTTGTTAAAAATGTGTCATCCAAGTGCAGTCCCTCACTGACCCGTGGGGCCATACACACGGGTACACCGCATACACATTTTGCGACCGTATATGCACGCTTGAGTCAAGTTAAGTAACTGCAAATCCATATTTTCAAAGTTCTAGCACCAAACTGAACATTGAGTGCAAATTTTATGATTTCCAGTGGTATTACCTCTAAAGATTATGCTTAGTTTCTACAACACCAAGCAATCTAAAGATCTCTCAAACTTGACAAAGTGATGCTGATCGTATTGTCTGTGGTATCATCTGTTTCCCTAGCCATCAAAAATTAATCGCTGCCAAAAATTAATCTCCCCCCCTTGCCTCTTTCTGTCGCTGTGAGGCGGAGGGGAGGGGATCCTCTTTTCTCATCCTTTGCGTAGTGAATTTTTCGGCTAAGTTGGCGGTGATTTGATGGTGCAGTCTGTCATCTCGAATAAAAGTTCCCCATCTCCAATCCTGTCTCAGTGATGCTTGGTGTAACGTTGCTCAGGAGCCTCTGCGGTTTAGACCCCGTTGTTCTTCATGGATAATGGGTTGGTTATTTGTGTCGTCGTCGTTGTGACTTGCTGTGCATCGCGGCGGTAACCTCACTGTCTTCTTCGGCAAACTGTTCCTTCCAAGCCTTTGCGAGCAAAGTCGCCAGCTTGGTCTGGCGATTCTAGCGCGGCTGCCTGTCTATATCTAGCGCGATTCTAACCCCCATATGCTTAGCCGACTGCCAATCTCACTCATATGCGGTGGTTTACTATTGCAGCGATTGAAGGAATTATGTTTCTCAACAGGTCTTTACGGGCACTTTAGTGGTTGGATTTCTCGATGTTGTCAATTATTGGCACGGGGTATGGTGGTGCAACGACGACATGTTAAGTGGTGGCTTTGTCAAGATTTTGGAGGCCTATGGTCGTAGTCATTGTCTTCCATTTCTTTAGGGTCGTTTACGTCTATGTGAGTTAAGTTGTCCCATACCTGATTATATATAAAAAAATTATTATCGACAAAGTCATACCGGGGGAATACAAAGAGAAGGGTGAGTAAATGAAGTCATGGTATCTTGAGCGACTTGCTGTTGCCTTTCTCAGTTTTACGCTCATTCTAAATTTTCATTTTTTGTCCAATGCCATGATAATCCAAAGAAGCAGGTGACGGTGTCCTAGATTAGGGGGTAATAACCACGTCAGACCCTGGGATATGGGTTGGGCCGAGGACCCCTGAACAATTGACCAGTGGGCCATGCTCGGCAGGCCCCACGGCGTACACAAGATGGAATCTTCCAAAGACTTGGGACATACTCCTAGGCATGATGCAATCATCGATATGTTTATCCCAGATGTAACCGACCTACATATAACCCTAGGTATCCCCGGTGTCTATATAAGCCGAGGGGTTTTAGACCGTAGGGTTAGATTCATTCACATATGATATCGAGGTATACCATCTTGTACTTTGTACCCCATCCACAATCAATACAACACAATCAAGACATAGGATTTTACCTCTTCGAGAGGGCCTGAACATGGGTAAACACCGTGTCCCCTTTC